ATATTTTTTCTGAAATAGCTGAGTAACAGTCCCGGTGATTTTGATTATTTATTTTTTTTAGCACACCTCTAAAACCAATAAACTCAGCAATGCACAATCCACATATTCTATATCTATAAATACACTTTCGCACATTTGCCACAGCTAAAACGGAACATCACGGCTGTTGATTTGCCGACTTGCCCAGCGGATATTGTTGATCAATATTCAAAATTCTACTGGTAACGTTTTTTCCTCCCCACAACATGTTGTCCGATAAATATTTATGAGTCTAAAAAGGTATAATCTCCGTCAACAGATTTTTAATATTGATCCTCGTGTTAAAATTAATCGAGTGAACCGGATCCGTCCAGTAAAAAAAAAATTCACCAATCAATCCAACAATACTAAAAACGATCCACCCAAATACTAGATCTTGGTGGCATTAATATTGGATTACCCAGAGGGTTTGATACTTGAACAATAAAACACAATCCTCGTAAAGTGGCCCGATTAATCACCGCAAGCCACCGAATTTATTACTGCTAATCGCGTTAATCTTTAAGATTGTCATTCTCCATTGAGCATTGAGCAGTGTTGTATCGTGACCGATCAGCAAATCCCTTTTCTAGATAAATTCCACGGCCCTATTCTAGTCAGTTCCATTGACTAGCTTGACCTAGCCTTCATCTTTATCGCAGCCTTTGTGCATCTTAGACCGGAGAAGAAAGCGGGACAAGATGAGAGAGTCCACGTGACCGATAAAGTCGATAGAACCCAAGATCCATCACCATTCCTATTTGCAAGCCTTTTAGCTGTCCAATTCATCCCCTTTTTAGAGCACCCAGATCCTTAAAAGCCCGTAAACAACTTTAGGGCACTAACTGGAGGAATTATTTAGCGTCAAAGCCAAAATAGGGAGTTCCCTTGAGACAGTCCTTGCAGAAGTCCCACATGTTGTTTTTGTAGACTGCAGACATAACAGACAATGGGAACGGGAATAAGAACAATAATGGCCAGTCCTGACAAGTGAGAACATAACAACCTTCTTAGAACTCCCCGAGCGGTCGTCCATAGTCTTCAAGAGACAACTTGCGGGAAATTCTGAGTTGTTAAAGCACTACAGCTTCGTTTTCTATCAGCTTCCGTTTTTGGTGAGCAGACTGCTGAGAACGGCCCGGTGAATTAGGAGTTTTGATACTGGAGTCGTTACACCTCCCCCTGGGTTGCTAAATCGCCAATTTCGCTGTTCTATTTCGTGGAGACGTCTCTAAACACGCTATAAAGACCTTTTAAAACGTTTTTTTTTGTTTTCAACATGACTTTATTGCAAGCTACATTACTTTACTGGTTAAGTTTGTAGAGCTAAAGTAATGCTTTTATACAGAAGCTTCTAAGTTTCCATTGAAACTATTGAAACAACCCGTTGAGATGTTGATAAATGTTGGCATCGTTGACGAAGTTACCATTCATAGTTGTTTTTCTGTTTAATTTTGATGGATAAATTGCGTTATTTAGGCTGCTGTCTGATCTGATATTGAGGTGTGATCGAATTTAGGCAGCTATGAAAGAAACTGATGTTTGCTGATCGAAATAGGGAGTCTACGATTAGACGATAGCATGATCCACGAAATTAAACCCCAAGAGCGATAAAAAATTCAAATGGGATCCATTTTCTTTCAAAAACTATGTAAACAAGAATTTTTTGATATAATTTATGTATTTTATGCTGAATTTATGAAAGCATCGATCGAAGTAAAAGGGTAGTTTTGAAAATGTCCACCCAACAAACAGAAGGAAAAAGTTTATAAATAACGGGAGAGTTTCCTGTCTGTGAAATAGATTCTTAGATTGTAGGGAGAGAGCATAATGATTTTAGGATTTTAGAATAGACAAATTCAGTTGATCCCTGGATGCTGGATACCGGGAACTCTTACTAGTGTTGTATGTAATGGGGAGAGAAGATCGGGAGAGCAATCAATCTTTGAGAGGCAGATGAGTGCGGACCTAAAATATAGGGCAACACAAATTTAGTCTGGCCGCGTCCGTCCACGTGTCGACGTGAATGCGCAACCGCCCGGGTTGTAATCGATATTGCCGACAAGGTACCACGCCCTGCACCTGCGAGATGTGCGGGATGCAACGGTACTTCTCCCAACCTTGTGCTGCCTCCGTTACAGTGGTTCAGTAGGTGATAGAACGCTCCCTATCTGCGTTAGCTCCACCAACAAACACAAGGAACGATTGTTTCTTCTTAAGGACCCTCTGCTATCCCGACCAGTTGTCCCCTTCTTCAGAATCCGCTTCTGGATCAGATGTCCAATTTAAATTGATGAAACGAGGTGAGTAATTTGATGACGTCTTATCAGAATGACGCTCAGAAATGACTTTTAAATCCGTGTGCAGCATGTCCTATTTGCGTTTCCCACTCTCTTTCTCTTTCTCTTGGCATGCTCATGCTCCTGGTTGCCATGGAGCTCGAGTGGGAAACGAGATCCACGTAAATCGTCGTTGGGGCAAACGTACGTCAACCTCCTGGCGTCACTGAGCGAGACAGAGATAGACCTCGAGAGAGAAAGACTGAGAGGAACTCCCGGGGGTTGGTTACGCAAGGTCGATTCATTGATTAATCCGGGAACGAGTTCGAGCGGGGATTCCCGGACGTTGCTCGGCCGTTGCCCGAGTTACTCTCTTTATACTTTTTCTCTACATTCACCTTATCCACCATCATTATCATCATCAATATCAAGATCATCATCTTGTTGGGTGATTTCCCCTTGAGCTGCACAAACATTCACACATCTACAACTAGATAATCTCCTTGATTAACCCAAAGTGTCTCTTGTTAGTTCCAAGTAGGCCTGCACTTATATTCCCATCTTGATTTTTTCCCTGAAAATCTGCCCTATCTGCTCCCAGGGTAGAGCTAATAGGATTTGGCTCCGGAAAAAAGTCATCTTGGTCATCTTTGTCTTGGAGACAAGCTCTAAGCTCTAAGAAGATTCTAACCAGGTCCCAATGGTGTTTGTCAGGTGGGTGGATTTCGTCTTCCATATAAGATCCTGGTTAAGGACTCTATTGCTGATGATTACGTTGATCCCTTTCAAGTTGGCCAGCCGTTGAATCCTTGTTGTACACCAGAGTACTAGGGGATAAACAAAACGCACGATTGTGGAATAATAAAAAAGAATAGGGACTGTTGAGTTTACAGAGTATAGTTTAGGATAAAGTTGAGTTGTATAAAGTGTAGAGCAGTAAAGGATGAGATTTAGCCGGTTTATCAAGGTGTGGCGTGTCGAGAGTCTGGTTGCCATGGAGCGACCCCGGGGCTTCTCTACTCGATTCCACCAACGGATAGGCAAAGGAGAGAATATACACACAAAGAAGAACAGATAGATAAAGTCTGTGTGAGTCTATGTTTGTATCTTCTTCTGGTTTTAGTGTATAGAAGAATGATATGAAGCGGAAAGTATAAGACCTTGATTCTTTATCTTTCGATCTGGAGAACGAAACGTGACCTGATAAGGTCTCCAGCAAAAGGTAAACCTATTATTTCGAAACGAAATGAACAAAGGGCGATGAGCAATTAATCACCCCTGTCTTTTATTTCATTCTGTAGTCTTTTCCTAGCAAGCTGATAAATCTCAGATTATCTGGTGAATTCCGTCGATCACTCCCAACCCAAACAGATGGGTATCCACAAGAATGGTAAAAACTCCAGGGTCTAAAATTGCTAATTGGATGACAACGTCCGTCACGCAATCGCGGTATCGCAAAGGGAGAACCGGGCTACTCTCACTTGTCCAGCAGCATAATTAATCTGGTATCGATCCAGTGTCTTTCAGGGGCAACTCTGGACTCGCATACATTTGCCAGGGCTGCTGCTTCCGAAACTCCATTGAGTGACAACAATCCCAGGAATTGATGGTATGCATTAGGTTGGATCTGTCCTTAGTTCTAATGGTTATAATCCTGTTGCTTCATCTTGTTGGTAGCTTTCTGTAGTTTCCTATTTCTGGTAACCTTTTGAAGAAAGTAATTCCAACAATCCAATGATAGGTTGATGTTCTGGAGTCCAATTCGAATAGCCAAGCAGCCGTTCTCACTAACCTCTCTTCCCTTTGATCCATAACGGGAATTGGTGGGATTCTGGTGATCGAGTTCGAAACTAGATCGGGTGAAGTAAAATAGTAAACTTAAAGATAGTAGCTTACGAGTATCACGGGTGCTAAAGGGTGAAATCTCGAGAGAGATGAAAAAGTTTAGTTTCTCAAGCGGATGAGAGAAGTGGTGAGTAGAGTTGGGTGGGAGAATATGAGTGAGTCGATTTCGCTTTGGGTTCTCTAATGAAACTCCAACTTTTATTCTTATTCCTTTTATTTTTATCACACTACACTGTTTTATCCCGGTCTGCCACCCAACACTCTTTTATTCAACTCATACTCGGTTGCTCGAGCCCCAACACACATCACAAAACTCTCTTGTATATTACATACAAGTACTTTTCTTAAAGTTGCCCGCGGTGTCATCTTGTCGGGTGTGAGCCGCTATCGATCCTTCTTCCTCCTCCTGAGGAGCATGTGTGTGAGCGTTGTACTGCTCACTCATGAGCTCTGCTTTAGTTATTTTCCCTTTACTTTTAAAAGACAAGAAGACCCTGAGAAAAAGAAAAATTCACGTCACGCGCCCTCGCATTTGTGAACGAACCCAAGTTGAGAAAAACCTCGGGATGATTATTCAGGAGGGACCCAAGTCTCTTGTTCCACCTTTTTAGCTTGCTCTATTTTTCCAACTCTGTCTGGCTCCCTTTTTATCAGGCAGGCTCCCTTTTACCCTCGGGATAAAAATGTTTGTATCTCCAAATATTTAATTAACCTCTTGACCCAGTAAACCCGAGACTGAACCAAACAACCTCTATAAATTCATCTATAAATCATCTGCCAACTCATAACCATTTTTGCCCATCATGATTGTGTTTTATATTCCAAATCATAAATGTCTGTTCATTTTCTGTTGCAGAAGCCGATTACACCTTGGACGATTCTTTCTGGAATGAAGAGACCCCCGCCGGTGAGTAGCAAAACTGCCAGGAGCAGAAATGGAAAAGAAAACCAGACTTGGTCTGGTTTGCATGCGCATTCCGCTTCTAGAAACATGCTTATAGGCAACTCCCTGCACCCTTTTCATCCCAAAGCACTAGTTGTCTCCTTGCCATCAATGCAGCACATTATACATTATGTACGTAAACATATGCGAACCAAATCTGGGTCGTTTCCACTTGCAAGGTACCTTATCGTTGGTATTGTTCTTGGTAGAATTTTAGCTTGAACCCGCTCCAGGACAAGTCAGTTGATCAAGAAGAACATTCAAAGCTCGCCTTTATCTCCACTATCATTTCTAGTCGATAAATCTTCCCCAGGACGTAAATCTAGGAGTAGCTTGACGTGTCTCATAACAACATCCGGTGGAGTATTTTATCATCTAACAGTTGGCCTTCGGCACGTGGGCGCTTCTTTGCCCCAAACCGATTATCGTTTTATCGGAGATCGATCGCTCCACCCCAGTCCGCCATAAAATGGAATAAAACTTGATATATATTAGGGAACGGTGGACCAAAGGTCCCGGAGGGAGCGATGTTTACACAATCAGGGACTAAAAGAACGTTAGATGGAAACTTTGACCACTTGGTTTGATTCTTATGCCGCCCGGGAATGATTAATGTCCGGGGGTTCAGCCCCTTTCTCTGAAAGAGATTCCAGCTCCTTCTTATTCTGCTTTGGATCCCATTCGGGTTATCTGGGTTTTATATTTAACCTTAATCCATTTAACTCCGGCGGAACTTGGAATCTATTTGCACGTCGTCTCAGGAAGCAGCTATCACTAAGAGGGATATTACGTTACACGTCAACTTTTCTTTTTTCCGAGTTGCTTAGCGAGATAATGTCCAGTCTGTTGATGATTGCTGAGATCTGAGTCTTCTGACCTATTACTTTGATGGAAATGTCTTAAAGGTTCAGGAAAAATAAAAAATACTTTTAATGGTTGTAAAAATTTATTGAAAAGAGTTATTTTTGGATACAAATTAGGCTTTGTGAGCCAAAGTACGGCTGTAAACATGATAGCGGCCAAGAAATTTATGATAGCAAGCCCATTTTTTGAATTAGCTTGATAAATTTGGTGAGTATTGCGCCTATTGAATATCATCAGCCAAATCCGTAGAGTTTGTTTATGAAAATGTCATGTTGTTAATTTTTTTTCTAATAAAATCAATAATAATTTGATCGGACAATTTTGTACAGATTAAAGACGTCCTTACAGAGAATGACCTATATCAAAAAATCATTAAAGTACTTTCATTTATAATTTGATAGTTCTATTAATAACAAGATAAATAAATTAAATCATTATTCATAAATCCAACGTTACTTTGGCAATTCAATCTAACGCTTCTTTAATGACCCAAAACTTTTATTCCTCAGCACTTTATTTTATCACCTCAGAAACAGCTTCTCCGACAGATTAATAACAATCGAAAGTTTGCATATCCTGAAGCATAATTTTCTCGTAAATCCTCCGAGATTTTTCCGTAAATTGAATACAACAAACACAAATCCTTTCCCTTCCTCGAACAATGTCTTTGAAAATGTAACGAACCATTAACAAAAGGGCAAAACTTTCATTGGGGGTCGAGTTGTGGTTATTAAAGGAATTCATAAATATGAATTAGGTTAGAAACCGCGAGTCATAACAATGAATTACAAAAGTTTTGTCAGGCAAGCGTTTTCCTTCCTTCGAAAATAAAATCAATGTAATAAATTTGACATGATACAAATCCCTTAACACCAATAACGATTAATATTAACTTTGTACAAGATAATTGTTTGGATCTCAAGATCGCTTGGAAAAGTTTATAATTTATTTCTCAGCTGAATGTTGAGTTAAATCGAGATAATTAGGTCCAAATTTAAGTAAGTTATGATTATGAATAAAAATCATGAGAGAGGAGGAATAACGTCATAACCAGAAGATGTAGAACAACCCGAAGCTGTCGTCCCTAAATGACTCAATAAGTAAACGCCCCCATGGAGCTGAGTAGCATGATTGTAAAAGACTTACATCAGCTGAAGCGTTCATTAGAGCTCTGGTGTACCTTCCACCCCTTCCACCCCCGCCAGCACCCTTCTCCCCTGGCTTTACTTAACTTTACTACTCGGCTGGGCTCGAGCCAGCTTTTACATTGGAAAATATTCGAGAAACGAGGACGATAAGAGGGACTTGATTTACCCGGAGGGAACCAAAGGAATTTCACGCTCCACGCCTCGTTATCAACCCGTTGGATCGTGAGGAAAGATCATCAAGGGTGCCCACCTCGACATTGACATCAATGACGACCAGAACCTTTTTACTTCTGGGGCTTTAAACTTGAAGTTGAGATAGGGTTTGTTCGACTGGAGAGCCCGAGATTAACGTGATACGTGTTAACCATTAAGAAATTTTAATGGATTTATATTGAAGAGATATTTTGGGTTTTTTTTTTTTTATTATTCATTACATTTAAATGCTATAATTTATTATTTCCATGGAAGAAACACATCTTTGTTATTAAATTATAAATTGTGCTATTACCTGAAGAAAAAATTTATTTTGAAAAGTTGTTTGCCTATTGTATAGATTAGTGTATCGCATGAGGGCAAATCCTTAATTAATTCAAACACAGTTGATGAAGAGTGCCTTGATAAGCTTCACTATCAATTTCATGAAAATCCCGTGTGTTATAAAAGATACTGCTACGAAAGTTGTGTAATACATCAAGCATGAATTTGGGCGTGATCAAAATCTCAATAAGCTTGTTGTTATATTAAGGTCGGCAATAAAGTTGCTATTAAGCTCAGCGTGGAACGCCAATTTTGGGAGAAGTTCTCTGAGTGGGTATGATGTCTCCACTCTGTTGTAGTCAATAACTAATTTTGGGTGGAGTATCATTAGAAGCTCTGAATATTAATTGGATATGAATCCTTTTGGTAATAGCTACCGACCCTTAGTTATTACGGTGAGAAAGGAGAGTTGAGACACTGAGCTGCTTTGTTCAAAAAATTAGAGGCAATTTTTTCAGTAATGAGATATTGATGTTATTTTAGAAAAACTTCTTTAGAAAATTATTTACTCACGGAAATATTTAAATTCATTGTCTAACAAACAACATTTTAACGTGGAAACACTAACGTTTTGTGTTAAGTAATGCAAAGATTAACACAATTTTTTTTGTGTATTTCATCACTAAGTGTATTTCATCACTAAGTTCTAAAATAATTTGAAAAAAGTGCTCAAATATGTAACTTTTGAGATTAAATTAAACATTTTCTTCTCAAATTTTTCATAAAAGAAAATAATAAGAAATACTGAGGCTTGTTTAGCCCCCTCGGGAACTACTAATTATTATTATTAAATTAATTAATTATTATTAAATAGTATGTACTGGTAGGAAACATTTTAGGATAAGGATGCTCTCCGTAACCGTCCACGACACTGCCCTATTTTAAAAAAATACATATTAATATATTAAAAGTTTAAAATCTTCAGAGAGAATAAAATACGTTTCTGAGTAATTAATTAAACAAAATGGCGGATAGAACCGTCGGATTTTATTACGTAATTCTACACCCGCTCGTTTTCATATTGAATATCAATATTGTTGGTCTGTATTTTTAAAAAGTTTCAAATGTTTACTTGAACTGTTTGTTCTTGGCTTGTTATCGCGTTGTTTATCAGTGAATTTAATAGTGTCATCAAGAGTACTAATATTAATGATCGATCATTGTATAAGACATCTATTAGAGTTTCATAAATTTATCGTTAATGTTTCAATATGTTTTGTTTATTGGCTCCTTTTTTTATAGAATTTTATGAACTGGTAAAATTTATTAAATATAATTCAATGTCAAAATATGAAAAATTTCAGTATTAAGGTGCCAAAATAGTGATTATTTACTTTGTTTCGTCTTCAGAAGTTTAAGCGTAGCTTGATAAAAAACTGAAGAAAGAGATGATTAAAAGTACCGGGTTCGATTCCCGGCGCCGGCAAAAAATCAAGGATTTTTAAATATAATAAAAGTTTGCAGAATTTTCATTGTTTGTATTGTTAAAGTTATTACCAGTTTATAAAATTGTAAAAAAAACAATTTTTATTCAGTTAAGCACTGTTGAAAATAAAAAATAAATTTACCTTATTTTTGATGGCGCCTCCTGCTTAATTTCAATTAATGTAGAGAGAAAACAGCAATTTTTCCAATCTACAATGGCTCCTTTTTTATATAATTTTATCGATTACAAGTTATAAGTTGATATTAATAACTTCTTTATAACTAATAATCAAAAGTTGTAACGAAGCGACATGTTTACATATTCTTAATAAGATATTGGGAATAATTATAAGTTTATAATCCTTGGATCAAAATTATGAAACGAACGAGTTGTCAAACAAATATCGGATGTTGTTAATATTTGAAAAGTTAACTAATAAACCCGTTCGTACATGGTCTTCTTCGAAGCAATCGATTCGTCTGTTATTATTATTCATAACATCATAACTTTGTGTTCTTAGTATCGAGTTATTCAATCGATGGTAAAGTAATTAATAATAAAGGACTGTGTGCTATTAATATTCACGGATTCTGCAAATAGAATCCTCGGAAATATATATCGAGTCGTTAAATCCAATAAAATTTCCCAATTAACAGATTCTAATAATAAACTCCAAGCTATTATTATTATTATTATTATAAGTAATAAAAGGATAAAACATTAATAATATTATTTAATTGGCGGTTGTTGTGGTTCCAGGCGAGGTCGAACGACTGCTACGCGAATATCGACAAAACCAGGAGCTAGTACGGGATATTGGGGCACACAACTATCAGATTATTTATCCAGTGCAGCTGAGGCATCACGAGAAAATGGGGATTTCCACCCGAGAAGCCGGATCTCCGAAGGTACGAAAAATCTAAATTTATTTCTTGTGTATAATATTGTATTTTATATGTCTATCAACTGAAATCCCATTTCATATTTAAATTCCCGATATATGTTTTTTAATCGACGAGTTTTACAACTTCTTTTGTGACAGTATCCGCAGAGAGGCGGGTATGGAGACGGGTATCAATCCGCTCGCGGGAGATCAAGAGTAAGTATATTAAAATAGAGAAGTACATGCATCCTACTGGATATTTTTTTATACGTTTATCTTTTTTATTACTTTCTTTAGGCGGGGAAACATTTTCATCGAACTTCCCTCTTGATAAAGGCCTTCAATCACAAATTTCGTCTAGATTTAGAATTAAATACGTAAGTATTTTTTTTTATATTAATTTTAGAGACTCTTTAGAAATTATTAATCAAAAAAATATTAAATATTATGATTAAAAATCTGGAAAAGGGTTGACCTCAAAGGCCATCCCTGTAATTTCCCGCTAATTCCATAAATAAACTCTTAAAATTGCAAAAGATGCAAAAGAAATTCGATTGGTATATGAGTGATTCTCTGTAAGGATGTTTTTTGATGTTCCAGGCATTTTTTTATTAGAAAAATTGTTATTTTGTTACTAAAAAAAATTTATTACGAAAGTAATAAAACATTTTTATTTGGAGCATTGAAAACTAAAATGAAATAAATTTTAGTTTTTTTGCTATAAATTTGTAAATCACCAAAATAACAGTCCCCTGGGCTGTCCCATTCCCAAAATTAAAACTTTAAGATTAAATTTTAAGTTATTCGTCCGTAATATATAATTCGGCCCATAATGTTTATAAACTTAATTAGTTAACTAACAATCTTCTTCAATAAAAAGTACCGAAAATTAATTTGTTTCATTGAATTCATTAAACCAAAGTTTGTCCCAGGCATTTTAAGAACAGTCCCCTGCCAGAAGTTCAAAGCCAAAAAAAAAATCCAGCGTGTTATTTTACCTTTTGTAAGGTTTATAAGGACCTAACTAGCCTTGAGTTAATAATCATAGGGCTGTTAGCGCTTTATTGCCATTTTATTTAGTGTTAAAGCATCGTTTGTGCTGGAAATATGTGTTTGCGCCACTTCAAAACTCAGTCCCCTGGCAACTATTTTTATTTATAATTTATTTATAAAATTGGATCCATAAGTCTTAATATTATTCTAATTAATGTAAACATTCATTGAGAACTTGAAAAGTTGAATGCATTGAAATAGTTTGCTTGATTTTTCTCAATTTGATAAAAAAAAAAAACAGTCCCCTGTCATGTTATATGGCAAAAGACACACAAATATCGAAAAAACAAAAATTAATTTGGCTGTTTATTTATTATCATTAAGCTGATAGTTTTGTAGCCTTTGTTAATTTTTTTTCTAATAAAATCAAAAATAATTTGGTCGAACAATTTTGTTCAGATTTAAGACGTCCTTACAGAGAATCACCCATATATTTAAATTTGTTTATTTTTTTTCCTAAATAATTTTTTTTATTTTATACTTTTAAAAAAATTTACTTTCGACAAAACTTGCAGATCAATTTTGCAAAACGGATTTGTATTAATTTATAAATAAAAAATTTCTCTACTTAAATGCCGCTTAATTTAAAAAAACAATCATTAAGCTTTGCAATAAAAAATCATTTTTAATTTTAAATCAAAAAACTCTTTAGTTGTATAACAACAACAAACATTAAACATTAAACATCGGACACGTAATTACTCGAATGGCAATTACTTACTGTCAAATTTCTTGTGGACCGTCCGAAAAAAAATGGCTTATCTATGACAAACAAAAATACTACAGTAAAAGTCTCCCCTGAAAATTCCTCCCAATGTTTACAAGTTAATTATCAAGGGATGAAGACTGAATAGCGTAATAAAAGAAAAAGAAAATCTTTAGTTGTAGAGTCACTCACCAATAAATCAGATGGAAAAAAAAGAGGGCCAAAAATAAATAATCTCATCATCGGTCTAGGGTTCGCTATGCACACAATGCCGCTCTGTCTCTCTCAGTGATGGTTCAAATATACACAGATAAAGGCTGTCGTAGGTGGTACCGCACATCGATCACACGTTTTTACCCTCAGGGCAACTAGAACCCGGAATGTATTCACGGTGCCGGAACACGTTTAATTTTCCACGATGAGCTTAATCGAAATCCGTTGAAACTCGGCCTAATTAACGGTAGAACACCCTAATTAGGAATGAAGAATACGCTGGTGAAAGCCCGATGAATAACCAAAAAACAGTTAATTTAACTTCCTAACTTCGGGTCATTATTAGCCCAGGCAATGTCACCGGGCCGCGAAACTTTGAATTTATTTTAGCTGACTTTCTGGGAAAATACGAGAAAAAAAAATGATTCATTTACTTTATTTTATTTCGTTACACTTCACACTGAGGGTCCTTTAGTGCTTTAATTCCAGATAATACTACGCTTTTAATTATAAGTATATATATATACTTCACTCTAATTTATTGTGATGACCTTGGGTAACATCTTGCCCCAAGTTATTTATACTACTTACCCCGTTATCGTGTTTACTCGAGTGGTTATTTTTGGGTTATAATGCCAAAAACACGCTCAGAAGATTTACATTTATTCTTTTAAATTAGCGATTTGATTTTTGGGAAATTTATAGAACTAATTAAATTGTGAACTATTTTTTTTTGAAAAATCAAATCAATTTAAAGGAAAGTAATTGATAGAAAAAGATCGAAAAAATTTGAGCTGTAAAAAAATTGCGCGTTATAATTTTGGATAAAATTAAAATAATTAAATGCAAATAATCTTTCGGAAAATTTTGAAATTTATCAGGAAAATATTTTAGATTTTTTTTTATAAACATTGTATCATTAAAAATAAAATTTTTTTTTCAAAAGTTAGCGGTCAAATTTTCGGCAAAAAATTATAAGAGTCGAAAAAGTTAATTAAAAATATTTTAATAAAACTTCAATTTTAATTGTTTGAAAATTGAAGAAAATTGCAACAATTGAAAATATAAATTTTTTCTTAAAAGTGCGCGTTATAATTTTGGGTAAAATTGAAAGAATTAAATGTGAATAATTTTTTGGAAAATTTTAAGATTTGTTTGTGAGAAAAATATTTTAATGGTATAATAATTATGATTGTTTTCTTATTAAAAATTATATGACAAAAATGAAATTTTTTTCTCAAAAATCAGCGGTCAAATTTTGGGCAGAAAATTAAAATAGTGACAAAAAATTACGAACAATCTTTAGCAAAACTAAAAATTGTATTATAAGGAAAATATTTTAGTAAAACTTCAATTTTAATTGCTTAAAAATTAAAGAAAATTGTAACAATTGAAAATATGAATTTTTTCTTAAAAGTGCGCGTTGTAATTTTGAGTAAAATTTAAAGAATTAAATGCGAATAATTTTTGGAAAATGATCGAAAAAATTTGAGCTGTAAAAAAATTGCGCGTTATAATTTTGGATAAAATTAAAATAATTAAATGCAAATAATCTTTCGGAAAATTTTGAAATTTATCAGGAAAATATTTTAGATTTTTTTTTATAAACATTGTATCATTAAAAATAAAATTTTTTTTTCAAAAGTTAGCGGTCAAATTTTCGGCAAAAAATTATAAGAGTCGAAAAAGTTAATTAAAAATATTTTAATAAAACTTCAATTTTAATTGTTTGAAAATTGAAGAAAATTGCAACAATTGAAAATATAAATTTTTTCTTAAAAGTGCGCGTTATAATTTTGGGTAAAATTGAAAGAATTAAATGTGAATAATTTTTTGGAAAATTTTAAGATTTGTTTGTGAGAAAAATATTTTAATGGTATAATAATTATGATTGTTTTCTTATTAAAAATTATATGACAAAAATGAAATTTTTTTCTCAAAAATCAGCGGTCAAATTTTGGGCAGAAAATTAAAATAGTGACAAAAAATTACGAACAATCTTTAGCAAAACTAAAAATTGTATTATAAGGAAAATATTTTAGTAAAACTTCAATTTTAATTGCTTAAAAATTAAAGAAAATTGTAACAATTGAAAATATGAATTTTTTCTTAAAAGTGCGCGTTGTAATTTTGAGTAAAATTTAAAGAATTAAATGCGAATAATTTTTTGGAAAATTTGAAGATTTGTTTGGGAGAAAAATATTTTCATAGTATAATAATAATTATGTTTGTTTTTTTATTAAAAGTTGTTAGAGAAAAATATAATTTTTTCTCAAAAATCAGCGGTCAAATTTTGGGCAGAAAATTATAAGAGTGAAAAAAATTACGAGCAATTTTTAGCAAAACTTAAAAATTGTAATATAAGGAAAATATTTTAGAATAACTTCAATTTTAATTGTTTAAATTTGAAAATAAAATTTTTTTCTCTAATGTTAGCGATCAAATTATGGGCAGAATATTGAAGAATAAAAAAAATTATTAAAAAAACATTAATTTAATCATTAAAAAAATTCTCGACTCTAAAAATAAAATAACCATTGTTTATAATTTACATTAAAAGAAAATTAGCCGTATTTTCAACTAATTAACAAAATTTTAAACTTATGCATGAATTATTTCGAGTGTAATTATTCCATATTTTCCAGCAATGCTTAATATGTATGTAACAGTAATAACATTTAATTTTAATTGCGTTATTTCTATTTTTAATTAAAAAAAAAGCTTCGCTTTAAATATTTCGTGTTTTCATATTTCTTTTTCCTTTCAAGGGATTTAAATATTTTAATTTTACAACCGAGGATTTTCGACACTTTCGTGATGAAATTTTAAAAGGGATTACTAATGCTTTAGATTATGGAAAATTAATGAGTTGCGGCAAATGTTTTTTTAATGTAACAGGTAATCTTTTCATTAAATATGAAAAATTACCGCCACAACTTGGTCATAAAAATTGATAACTTACTTAGGTAAAAAATTTACACAAAACTGGAATCTCTTAATAATTAATGTATTTTAATAATTAACTAGAAAGTAATTTTACCCCCACCCTCAGAAAAAAATTTTTTTGATCAAAGTTATTAATGGGTAATAAACCAGACACCTGAATAATTAATTTCCAATCAATGTAGCAATGGAATGCGAATGAATTTTAAATACCATCGATCAGAATACAATAGCACAACAAAGAATGTACCGATGCTCAGTAATGGAATGATTGATGCTCGTAAATAATAAATTTAAATTGTTGCAGGCAACTATTGGCGCCGAATTTGATGCAAAAGGACTTCCTGGGGAACGGGGTCGAGCAAATGACAAAGCAGGTAATAGCCGGAATTTAGCTTTGTAAATTGTCGGTCAGAATCGTAATCCCTGTTCCGGTGTGCTACATATTTATAGATGTTTGGTAATTTGAGTCTGAGAAAGTTTAGCTCCAGCTTTGGTTAATTTAATTCCAGGAAATCGAGCATTGTTACTACCACGGCACGGTTAAAGATTATCCAGGAGCCAGCGCTGCTTTCCACACGTGCAATGGCGTCAGCGGTGTCATTCACCTGGGTAATGAGACCTTCGTTATCCAGCCGTTCTACGGAGGCGATTTGTCGGTTAGTCAAATTGTTCAAAAAGGTCTTTTTTATAAAAGATATTTGTTGTAAATTTTGGAAAAATTTACGCTGATATTTACGATGATACATATTTATAGGCTAGATATAAGCTCATTCTAATGTTACACTCATCAAGACCTTTCATTTGAGTACCCACATGAATTTTTCATATATTTTATATATTTATATATATTATATATATGTATATATGAAAAATATATCAAAAATGCCATGTGGGTACTTGAATGAAAGGTCTCGATGAGTGTAGTATCGAAATGAGTTTATATCTTAAAGAATATCAATAATTAAGAAATGATATTGTATTTTGTCAACTATTGACATTTTTAAAGATATAAGCTCATCCTGATGTTATACTCATCAAGACCTTTCATTTGAGTACCCACATCAATTTTTCATATATTTTATATATTTATATATATTATATATATGTATATATGAAAAATATATAAAAAATACATGTGGGTACTCATATGAAATCTCTTGATGAGTGTAACATCAGGATGAGCTTATGTCTTTAAAAAAGTCAATAGTTAAGAAAGTACAGTGCAATTTAACAAAATTCACTATTTAATAAACACTTTTTAGGTAAAAATAGTAATTAATCGATTTGAAAAACAAATTTGATGAGTTCAGGGATCATTTTTATTTCTGCTAGTGCTTTTTGGATCATTTTTATGTCCATTATGACTGACAGATATGATTTAGTGGGACAAAATGGGAAGAAATATTAAATTAAAAGTAAAATTGAGGGAGAATATTATTTAAAACTTTTTTCTTTTGATACTCGATCTCTTTGATTGAACCGCGAGGGGAGCTCTAGAGAGAAGAGACGGAAAACAGGGTAAAGTTTGAAAAGCAGGTGGTTGAAGTGACTGAAAGAGGTTATCGAAGAAAATGAACTATATGCATACCTCTCTTTTAGCAGAGACATCCTCACGTTATATTTGAGGCTCGAACAAAGGTTAACAAAGGCTGCGGTAATGCTGGGGGTCTTGAACGACGTCTTGCTAAGAATCGACGCCAGAAGCATGTCCTCGGCCTATCCAAGACTGTCTCAGATCGATACAAGCGAGATGTTCGCGAGGCTACCAAGTACATCGAAACTGCTATGATTATCGACAAAGCTATGGTAAAAGTCAATTTTATAAATCAATTCTTTTATTTTATTCAAATTAGCTTAAATGATCTTATTTGGAAAAATTACCGAGGTAAAATCACCGATGCGGTTAATTTACTCGGTAAAATTACCAGATGATTTTTGGGGCAAATTTAAAATTGAAAAAGTGGGTTAATTATTAGAGATACGGCAATTTTACATTATCTGCAATATTTTAGCCAGAAATTGCATTTAAAAATCGACCTCCGGTCGATTTTTTCCGGCGGCATTTTAGGCTAAAATATTGAAAGTAAAGTAAAAGCCCCAATTATTGACACTATAAGGGACAAAATTATGATTTGATTTTTTTTAAGCAATCAAATATCAATATTAATTTTGTTTGTGATAATTTCAAGTAATGTTTTTACTAATCAAATTTTTTAAAATGATAATCACTGATATTTACTAATTAATTTTAAATAATTAAATAGATTGTCCGGAAACCCCAATTATTGGCAGGTTAAAAAACTGATTGATCTAATTATTGACATACCTTCACCCCAATTATTGACACCTATACTAAGCATGCCTAGAATCATCTGCTAATTCTTATTTATCCAAACTTATTATTAAGTAATCAATTTTATTAAAGTTTATTAATAATAATTTCCATAAATGATTGATTACTTTTAAAAATATAAAAATTTATTAAAAAATAATTTATTTAATCAGAAGAGTTCAAACTCTTACAGTTAATTTTTTAGGTTAAAGTCAAAAAAAGGCGTGATAGCGCTGTCGAATGGCTGTCAATATGAGATTCAACTTAAAAATTATCAACTAGTTATTGACACCCATTATTTAAATATTATAAAGCATACAATTAATTTCGATTATTCAATTTTATAAATTTTTCATATATTGATTATTAAAAAAAAAAAACGATGATATTATTAGATGAAGAAATGAATTTAAACTCGGCATTTAAAAAAAATGCTTTTCTAATCAAAGTTGTTAAGAAAATAAACGTTCGTAAGCTGGTTTTAACTGGTGCTAACTTTATTTTTTAATAATTAATATTTAATATTAACTGACAGTAATTTTTTTCAATTTTTTAATTAATTAGAATTTAATAAAAATTTATATGATAGTTATTCTTATTAGAGATTGAATATATATAAAAATAATTTAGGGTGTCGATATTTAGACCCCTGTCAATAATTGGGGCTTTTACCTTACTCAAAAATTAAATTAAAAAACAAAATCATCAATTTATCTTGTTTTTATCTGTCAAAATATATCTAAAGCAAATATAACTTAACTTAAAAGCAATAAAATAATATATTTTCCAGTTTGACAAGAGAAACGGAAGCACTCGATCGGAAGTAGTTCATGACGCCATCCAAGTTGCCAATATCGCTGATTTGGTGAGTCTCCCATTTTCCGATAAAAGGCTCCAGATAAACAAAATTTGTCACGCTACTTGTAACAACTCACATTATTTGTTATAAATATTCTGCCCTTAGTACTTCCGAGGTCTCAATACGCGAGTGTCTGTCGTCTACATCGAGACCTGGCAGGGCGGTAACAGGGCCGCAATCGACTCGACCATGGAAATTGGCCGAGCACTCCAGAACTTCATCGACTACTTGCTCCGGAACATGTACCTAGTGACCTCGGACACGACGCAGTTGCTTACGTAAGTAACTCCCTCTGTTTTCATTGGCGATAAGTTCTGTTTAGTTTTTCCCAATTTTCCTATTGACGAATCTTGAGCGATATTTGCTTCCGACAAAAGCAAACTAAATAGTCTTGAGATCTGAGGGCGAGTAAACGTCGTCGCAGAGCACACAACTTCAATTGAAATAAATAGAGCCAGCTGAAAGGAATTTCGATAAACACCTTCTTGCTATTTTTGTTCCTTTCTCGAAATATTGCTTCGATTGGCGAGCTTTGGCTTTGTGAAAATATTTATAAAGATAAAATAAGCTTTTATTTGAACAATTTCAGGGGCGAGACGTTCATAGGCGGCGAATCGGGAATCGCTGTGCCGGAAACTGTCTGCAGCACGAAATCTGCTGGAATAAGCGTAGATTTGAATACATATGAGCCACATCTTCTTGCTGGAACTATGGCGCACATGATAGGTCACAATATTGGCATGGGTCACGATGATGGAAGTTAGTATTGTTTTTTTTTTTTTAATTTATATAAAATATAAATGGAAATTTAGATGATAATATAACAGTATGAATAATTTGCAATGATGAAACTGAGAGCAATAGCTATGAAACTCAATACCAACCTCTGAAAGAGATAAGATGGACTTTAATAGTAATTGATTCCGTCGCATTAAAACGCGTTAAGAATCAATTTATTTACTAATTAAGATAATTTTTTAAGTTTATTTTAAATATCAGGCAAAACAAAGTTACCAAATTGACTTTTTATAACAGTCTTTTAATTTTTGAATAAGATGCTGTTTAAATAAACTAAATATGTATCAATAATCTATATCTATATGCTCGGAAATAAAGAGACGTTTTTTAGACATTCCAGACCGAAAAAACTACAAAGAAATAGACAAACTTATGTCATTAAATGCATTGTTTCTCAGTTAATGTTTCAAGTTTATAATATTTCGTCGGTATTTTGTTAGTTGAGTAAATAATAACTTTTCATTTAAAATCGTTTCTTTAGTTATTTTATTAAAGTAAATAAAACGTAATAATTGTATTGTTGATTGACTAATTAGATATTTTTCAAGTTGAATAGAATCTTTATTACGATTACAGAGTTGTCAATATCCAAAACTAAAAATCATTTTTATTTCAAAGGATAAACTTTTAAGGGATTTTTATAATATTGATACCAATTACCCTTGCAAATAAAAAAATATAAACGTTTACAAAACTTCTTGAGAAGATAATTTCCGGGTGAATGCTGATGTAAAGTTTAAAAATTGTTTTACTAAAAAAACATAAACAAATTTAAACTCAAGCCAAGCGAAGCGGTAGATTGACAGTTAGTTCATAATATAAGTGTTTAATTAAGTCAATTTTTTTGTTTGGTTGTAATTAAGTAAAAAACTTTTAAAAATATCCGGAGCTGTTAATGACTAAAACTTTAATAAAGATTTCTAATCAAAAAAATTTTAAACTTCAATTGTGAAAACTCGACTTCATTATCTTTTAATTGAAAAAAAAAAAAAAAATGTCAGAGCTGGAAGTTTTATCGCAATAATTTTTTAACGAGAAAATGTTTTTTATAAAAATAAAAAATGGTCTCGAGATAAAAAAATAATTTAGTTTCAATAGTTGAAATAAAAATGAAAGCTGTAATTTTTTTAACGAATTCATAAGTTTGACTTTAATTGAAAGAAAAATCTTTTAAATTCAAAAGAATGTTCGAAGATTTGTTGAAGGTATCCAAAGTTTAGCGTTTAGTCCATCTGTCGGTAGTTTCTCAAGATTCTTGACAGAGTTTAGTCCAATAAACACAATAATGTGTAATTCGTAAACAAGCTGTTGTACTTTCTAGGAGAGAATTGCTTTTGTCGGGACTGGCACGGGTGTATAATGGCCCAGTCGATCGTCGGAGCTGAAAACGTCCAGCCGTACAAATTCTCCGAGTGTAGCAAATCGGATTACGAGGAGGCTTTGAAAGCCGGACGTGGTATCTGTCTTTTCAACAAACCGAACGAGGTGAGAATATCCTTTTAAATTTTTTATCTCTCGGGTCTTACGGCAGCTTCAATCTGCTTCCTTATGCATTCAAACTTTCGGCCCTTTCCGCTGTGGATAAAGGCTCGAGATAAAGGGTGCAGAGCAGATGTAGATACCCACCCAGATATCCAGATTTGGATTGCTGGTGTGTTTGCTCTAACCATAAACCCGCTTCCTACTCAACTTGGTTTCACTGTTACAGTTGGAAAGCAGATCATGCGGAAACAGGGTAATAGACGATGGCGAGCAATGTGATTGCGGGACCATCGACGAGTGTTCTAAGTATGATCCGTGCTGTGATCCAATCACATGCAAACTAACTTCTGGAGCTCAGTGCGCCAGGGGGCCTTGTTGTACTAATGATTGCAAGGTAAGTCACGCCCAGATCAAACTTCTCTCCTCAACTGTTTCAATTATTTGTCCTATTATGTTCCTGCACTGAGAAAACAGTTTGTTTGATTTAAATTCGTAGATTTATTTATGATAACTTAAAAATGCGTATTTAATATGAACAAATTTGTTTGATTTAAATTTGGATTACTTTCAACCAAATACTATTTTGTTTTGGTTTATTTGATTGAATTCGCAGATTTATTTCATTCAAATAAGATTTGTCAATAGTTAACAAATCTCGTTTGAAATAAATTATAAGACGTTTGTGTCGCTACTGTCGCTATTTGAGTTATTGTAATTTTAATACCTTTATTCTCGCCTGTTATAATTGAGTAATTTTGTATATATACATAAATTCTTGATGAATTTAATAATGGAAAAAAAACTATCAAAATCCAACTCGGATCTAATAATTTTAGTTTATTAGAAGATACCCCAATATAAATTATATAAATAAACTCATGCTCATTGCTTTGATAACCCTAAAAATATGTCAGATATTATTTACTATATTGCAGAGCATGATTTCTTTATCGACATTCAAATATCACATTTTTTTATAATTAACAAATCTGATTTGACTGAAATAAATGATTTTTAAGTATTAAAGAAAGATTTGTTCTATAAACAAATAACTATTTCATTGAAATAAATACACTAAAAACATATCGCGACCTAAATTCCAAAAGGGCGCCTATCAATTTCTACACCTTTTTGGCTTTGCCAAAAGGGCGTATAAATGTTTTTGTTACTCATCGCTTTATTAACACTTTCTAAGTCTAAAAATAAAAAAATAAATTTCCAAAGCCAAAAGGGCGTATGTTTCAACTTACACGCCCTTTTAACTTTAGGACATTGAAAATTTAGTGATCTAAAGCCAAAAAGGCGCATAATTTTTTTTGCCAATTGCTTTGAATTGCGATTTATGTTACTAATTTTATTGCAGAATTGACAAATATATAATAATTTTTAAATTACCAATGGGTATTTTTAAAGGTTATTAAGGTAAAAGACCCAGTTATCAACATTTGCAATTTTATTTTAATTAAAAAAAACAAATCAACTCTAATAAATTAATAAATATAATTGTTGAATTATAAATTTTAAGAAAATTGGTTTTTTGCGAATATTTGATTTTTTTAATTAGAATAAAATTGCAAGTGTCAAACATCTAGGCCAGTGTCAATAACTGGGTCTTTTACCTTATTACAATTTTAATACGAATTCTGTTGATAATTTGAATTGAAAAAGAAAAAAAAACAGTTGCAATATCTAACATGGTTGCTGAGTCAGAGGCGCGAAATTCAACAATATTAAATGATTTGGATTTATTTTTTCGAGTTAAATTTTATATTTCAGAGTAAAATTGAAAGTTTTTTTATACGCCCTTTTGGGATAAAACCCTATCTGGCTGCTGTAATACGCCCTTTTGGCATTTGGATCGCGATATATCATATCGACGTTCTAATTAGCAAATTGTCCAACTCCATTTTAGAGAATCTTCCATTTGTATAAAAAAACAATTGATTCAAAATTTATTATCACTTTAAAAAAGCATTTATTATCTTTAATATCTAATAGAGGTATAATATTTTGGTTTGAATCATTCGAATAATTTATAATTGGACTACTGCTACATCAAAATGTTAAAAAGTCACCCTCTAAAAAATAAGAAGTTTGACCAATTGCTAATTAGACCGTCGATATCATCCTGTAAGTTGCTTATATCAGGCCATATATAAAAATATATGAAAATTTTTCGATGATAAACATAATGAATCATTATTAATGATGAAAATAATGCAGTTACGTCAAATCGGATACGTCTGCCGTGAATCGACGAACGAGTGCGACCTCCCCGAAGTCTGCACCGGCGAATCAGGGCAATGTCCGACGGACGTTTACAAGAAAAACGGAAAACCGTGTGCGAATAACCGGAGCTTCTGTTTCGCGGGTTACTGTCCTGATTTGAATGTCCAATGCGAAGCAGTTTGGGGCGATGATGTCAGCGCGGCTGACATGCAGTGCTTCGAGCAGTTCAACTCCAAGGGATCCATCAATGGACACTGTGGTACTGATGCTGAAGGACACTTTATCAAATGCGAAGCCGAGTAAGTTCTTTTTCCAAAAAATTCATCAGCTCTTCAATTTTAAGCTTTGGCGGTCTCTTTAGAGTCAATCCACAATTTAGCCAAGCCACTAAATAACCATTATAACTCTTTGCTAGATTAGATCCACGATTAGACCCTAACAGATTAGAAGGACGTTAATTGGTGTAATTTGTAAATATTACAGGAACGTCCGCTGCGGTTCGCTCCAGTGTCAGAAGGGGAGTAAACAGCCGGTGATCGATGGCATGCATGGCTCGTGGACACGAACCATTATATCCACCAAGGGCACTGAGTACGAGTGCAAGTGAGTACAAATAAACGATTTACGGGTGCTGTAAGATTTAAGGGTCTGTTGATGTTTAACATTCCGGTGGATAAATAGAATAAATCTTTGAGCGTTTAACTTAAAGAGGTTGTTGTTATTTTGTTAAGAGCCACCAGCAAAGTCGAGGGGATCGACGTACCGGGAATGGGTCTCGTACGTGATGGTACATCGTGCGGCGAACACTCGGTAAAACTACTTTGTTTGTCTTCATCAATTACTCCCTCTCGTGGTGGCGTCCTGTACTCCCTCCACGCCATACCCTTCTTTTCCCCAATTGTTTAACGTTGTTTCATTTACATATGATGCTAATAAATCAAACTCCTATCCGAATGATCTGATAAATCATCATCAGGGTACTTTGAATACTCCAACCAAGTAATTTATCTGTTTCCAGATTTGCGTCAATCAAACTTGCACCAGCTCATTTCCACACATCGATTCGGGCAAGTGTCCAAGCAATAATGACAATATCGAATGTTCCGGCAACGGCGTAAGTTCGCTGTTTGTTTACATTTTAGAGTAGTTCTGATTGTCCGGTTTTGATTTACTCCCTCTGCATATGTATTATAAGTGATTTTTGCGATGGATACAAATTTTTTTTGGATTATTTTGAAGGGGATATTTAGACGAACAAAATAATTGCAAATTAAAGCTATTTTCATTAAGTAAACGGAACAAATTGAGAGATTACAAATCAAAATTATATTTGCTTTAAATCATGAATTTTAAAGAGTATGATTGATTTTTTAGGATTTTTTTGATGAAAAAAATTTTTTTTGATGGAATTATTGGTACTTCTGTACAGTATACATTTCAACGAATAAAATGACCACCAAAAAAAGTCATTTTCATTAAAGGAACAGTCTTAAAAGCAAGATTAAAAATTAAAAAGAGTCTAATTTGCTCGAAATTGTTACTTTCAAAAAGTACCATTGCTTTTTTAGGATTTTTTTGGTGAAAAAAATTTTTCTCGATTCAATCATTGTTACCACTTCAAAGTAGACATTCTAACGAACAAAAAACCTACAAACCTAATTTTTTTCTATTGAACAAACCTTACAAATAGAGAAGTCAAAAATAAAAAATTTTGAACTTGTCCCAGGTCTGCACCAATCTAAACAAATGTTACTGTAACATCGGTTGGAGCGGTACAGATTGTTCAATCCAAATGGACATACCAACTCTAGAACCTCTGACCACAACCACCGGCGCCCCTAGCAAAGCAGCGGATGCCGCGGGAACCAAACTCCAGAAGAAAGAGACCCCCTACGGTAAGTCCTAACCTCCAATAATTATTTACAATTGAACAATTAAAAAATTAAAAAATTTAACACCCTGTCGATAATCTTAACTATGACAACTATTAATTCTAGATTTATAGCTCTTTTATAGTTAGCTCATCGATAAATGTTCAACATGGATATTACGTAAATGCAAACCGTTTGTCATTTGAAGTACTGGATTTTTATTCGCGATCCATTTTGTTTTTGTCCAACATGGGAATGAATATCTATGTATGACTGAAAAATGATGATAATAATAATAATAAAACAAACGGGCGAGCTGAGAGATAAAAAGGGAGAGGATTACAGAAATATGTGAGGTTACCCATCAGACAAACCCCATGAGAGATTGAGCGTGAGAGCTGCTTCATACATTTATATATATATATCGTTCCCTAATATATAGAAAAAATATTTGTGAGCTATATGGTGTATATAGATTGGATAGATACAGCTTTTTTTAGATCCTCCTATAAAACCAACTATCATTCGAAATGAGAGACAGACAATAGAAAATGCTTCGTGTATTTCGAGCGCGAAATTGATTCCTATTTATCGATAAATATACAATCCGGATTTTCAGTTTACATTTTTTATATACAGCTGGGTATCAACCCTGCATTATGAAATATTTCCATCGAACTAGCTAAGTAAATTATATCTATAAATTTATAAAACACGTTTTTGTACTTAAGCTTTTCTGCAGGATCGAGAAAATGAAATAAAATTTAATAATTTTATTTATGACTGGATGAAATGTCGATAAAAAAATTTAGTAAGATTCGAAGGAAGAAATAATATTATATCAGATTGGTTTTTGATTTTTGAATATTTAGCTCCCTTGGCGATCATAAAATGAGGGTGTCTTATCGGATTAAAGCTTTGAAAATCAATTCAGAAAAAAAAAATGAAATGAAAATATTTCGTATCGAAATATTGTGGAATATTTTTATAAGGGAAAGCACCCAGTAGTTGAACAGATTTTAAAGTAAAACTTATTTGACTGTACTTTTAATTTATAAAGATGTAATTATTAGTTAAAATTAGTGATTTTCATGAAAATATAAACAATTTTGAATTGATTGAAGCGCAAAATAACAAAGATAATTGATTATTTATATTTTGACAACTTTTTTAACTTGTTCAGGTTATGGGTACCGCTTTGAAAATTTCGAGGTATAGTTAAACGCTAAAATTTAATATAAAAATTCTAGTTTATGTCTTTGCAAAAAATATATGTTATTTAGAAAAGACTATTTCATTAGATGGTACAATTTTTTATTTAAAATGACGATATATCGTTTTTTTTTTACTAATTGTTCGGTTTACGATTTAGTACCTTTTACATGAAAAATCTCAACATTTTTTTACAAAATGATTTTTTCCAATTTCTATTGCTATAAATAAAAAAATAGGAATAAAAATTATTATAAAATTTAATCGTCGACATAAAAGAGTATAAATTTTTTCAAGACTGCTTGCCGATTCACTTTTCCACTGCCATAAAGTAAAATGAGAGGAATAATTATTAAAAACAATTTTTATGGGTTACAACCTATTTTAAGCATTGAAACGACAGTAAATTCAACTTGCTATACCTAATAAATTGGCTCGTATATCGACGGACTGAGAATATAAGTCAGCAATAAAGTTTAAGATTTAACGATCATGAGTGGGCGTTCCCACCAACCAACTCTTACTCGTCCTTCAGTACTTCTTTCTTCACGGCACTACACTTTTATACTTTGAACTATTATGTAGGGTGTAGACGAATCAAGTACTGAGTTTTACTGTTTACTTCCTAAAACGCAAGACGAAACAAAATGGGCAATCAGGAGCTTTTTACAGATTTTACTGGGCCCTGATTTATATGTTCGGCAAATAGAGTTTTATTTAAAGAGTTAGAATCAAAGTGTACAGATTAATCGGTGGTTGGTAATTGAAAGTTTAAAAGTTTTCGATAGAAAAAGTTCCTTTTTAAAAACAAACTTTCGAAACAAATTTAATGATTAGAAAAAGAACTTTTTTCAATTTGTAATTAGTTTTTTACAGAAGTGTGAATAGCTGGAATTTATTTATTTTTTACAAAATTTCTTATAGACATGCGACACAGCAATAATTAATTTCTAACACACATTTCGCGCTTTCTCCGCGAATCAAAGCGGTGCACCCGCGGTAGAATGTTGTATGCATATACGGACTTGTTTAAACAAATATGCATTATATATAAATACGCTCGTAGATTGTCAGGTTGTTCGACACGCCTTGAGGTTATGTACTACCGGCTTTGAAGTATTTTTTACCTTTCACGCGCTAAATTTTCAGAACAGTTTGTTAATTTTTAAAAAATGTTATCAGTAACAAACGAATTGTCGATTTGGCCGATTATTTAGGTGTTTCGAGAGACTGAGAAAATAATTAATTGCAAGCAAACGTGAGCCATAAACCAAATGGTGTACTTAGATCACCAAATAATTATTAATCAGCGGCCCAAAGGAATAAATCTAAATGATTTAATAACGTTGAATAAATAATTAATTAGCAACAAATAAGTAGTAGTTGATGTGAAGATTCCACTAGCGAGTGGTTTGCATTAATAAAATAAATTTATTTATTATTTTAAAAGAATAATAAACTAAATAACACAACTGTCCAATGAATTATTTGGTAAATCAATCATCGCTGCTCTTCCTTGTAATGGTTAGCTTTATTTTAAGCAAATTTTCATTTTTCAATTATTTTCAATTATTTTAGGTTAGTTACAACTTTCCAAGTCTGAGGAATTTATTTATTTTTAACAAATAACTAACCCGTGACACGTGACTGTGTTAATTTAACATATTGTTGGTGTTACTTTACAGCGCGTCTGCCTCTGTGTTAATTAGCCATTTTAAGCGTCTCATTTTTGCCGACCGCTGATTTTCTTCGAATAGGTGCTTTTTACACTAATTACATTTATAAAGAAGATCAAATAAAATTTTTAGTTGAAAAATTAACTGAATGCAGGGTCAATTATTCTAGTTGATTAAATTTGAAACAAATTTATCGAAAATAATTACAAAAAGCATAGATTGTAAAGGGCAAACTCAAAAAGTTCACATGGAGCCGAACCGTGAAAAGATCAATTGGCAAATTAAAAAAAATTATCGATCACTGGACCGAAAATACCAGAGCTTTAAGTGTTCCCCCTTAATAAAAGTAAAACGAAAATCCGGTTATATTTGAAGTATAACTATTTAAATAATTTCCACAGAGATTTAATTTCCTTTACCATACTCGTCATTCTTGTCGCAAGAATTTGAAGAATAATGTTTTTTTTCATACATATAATAGACATCATTAGTAGAATAACGACCGCAAAAAAGTAAAGAGGTTACTTTGTCATCTCATTAGATGGAAAAAATTTAACTGATGTTTAAATAGCAGTGAAGTTCCAAAGACGCGTCGTTAAGCGGTTTTACAAGGAAAAAAAAATTATTTTAATTTTAATATTCAAGTTAAATGCAAAATGCGTCGTTTTTACTCAAAAGAAATACATAATATATGAATAGATAAATTTTGTATAAAAAAGCAAAGGAATTTTTTTTATTTTTAACGTCAATATTAGTTACAAAAGTACCAGTACTGCCCAACATTGATTAAAAGTCATTCTGATTTTATGAAGGAATCAATCCGTAAGCTTTTGAAGATCAACTATCAGAGGAAGCTATCACCGTCTTGTTTTTCCAGCTCTCACGAATCTTGAAGAAGCTCCTTTTTAATCAATTGTCTTTGCAACCCTCCCCGTTATCTCTCGGCTCAGTCTCGGAAGAAATCAAGTTCTAGATCTTAACTTATATTAGGTTTGTCTAACTCGCCGTTTCGCTCTTTATTTTACTGGTTCACTGTGTCACGATGCGAGAGATAAGAGACAATGATAAGTAAGTCATTACTTATGACACTTGTTATTATGTTACATTTAACGCCGTAGGGGTCATACCATCAGCTGTGCACATCCTGCGATTTATCTTATATTGTCTAGTCTAGTGCATTAATTTAGTGTACTAAATTGTGATTTTTTTTTCAATTTTTAGTGAAAAACAAAATTATTATTTTTAATTTAATAAACTTAAATAGACCGCAGTTATTTTAATTTACGCGTATGACAAAGTTTTATTGAATTAAGAAATAATACTGACAAATCAAGAAGTAAATATTCAACTGAAGAACATCGATGTTCTTGGCTTGAGAATATTCATTTTTTTATAGATAAAAATCAACGGAAAAAATACCCTTGGTAGGGCTCGAACCCTGCTCGGACCGGACCGAGTACAACCACACAAGCCGCTCAGCCATTGCACGCCTCGCGAAAGAGCGCTGTATTTATCGATATATTAGTAGTATTTGATTTTGTCGGCATTCTAAAGGCGGCGCTAAGGTCTAATCGTCTAAAGCCAACAACATCATATTCTTGAGTCGAGTTATTTGGCTTTGAAGGAAGTAAAATATCTCTTGCGTTGATAAATTTAATTTCATTCAACAAAACACTATTTTAAATTGAAATAAAAAAATATAAAATATCGATTGAAAAATAATTTTACTTTATTTAATTATTGTAAACTTTCGAATCAAAATTTTCTAAATCAACACCAAAATATTCTTCAATCTTTTGGTCGTCTTCCGATAAATGTTTTTAAATAAAAAATATAGTACTTGACTCACTTGAGATTTTTCAGTTCATTCCTTCAGAAGTAAACTTCTGGAAATTCACAATTATTGCCAAATTTAGTATCGCGCAAAATTTTCACTAAAAATTAAAAAGAAGGCTCTAAAGGTTGAAGTAATAGAACATTAACATAAAAAAATATCGATTGAAAAATAATTTTACTTTATTTTATTATAGTAAACTCGAATCAAAATTTTCTAAATCAACCAAAATATTGCTAAATTTAGTATCGCTGCAAAATTTTCACTCAAAATTGAAAAAAAAGTCTAAAGGTTGATGTAATAGAACATTAACATAGAATTAAGGAAAAAGACTAAGACATAAGGACCAACCTAACCAAAAAAACAAGAGTCAGATGTACAAGCCTTAAAAAGGTCTTGACTGGCCAGACACTAGCTTTATATATGATATTTACAGAGGAAGTAAACACGAATCTTAGCACCTTGGCGATGGTATTAATCCTGCTGTGTGTGGTGAAGGGGGTCTTCATTTGTTTTGCACTAGTGGCACGTTGTTGCTACAGGTATAGTAGCAATACTAACTTACCAACGAATGGAAACATTATGTCTCCCAATGACCCACTGAGTCGCTAGAATTTCCACGTCTTTCTTAAATCTCTTACAAAAACTTCTTTTTTTATAAATTTATCCAAATTTTTATTTAAAAAATTACAGAAATTTTTTAAACGTGTAAAATCAGCGCCAGTGGGCCATTGCGGGCATAATATTAACGTCTGTGGTGTCATCGTCTTACTGATAAATATATATCGTGCCTAGATGGATGATCAAGGAGGCATCGCACGCGGCCACTACGTACAATGCTCTATTTGGATTTTTTTCGTTTTATTAATTTGTATGCTTAGAAAGTTCTATCGTTAATTTTTTTTTTTTTTTTTTTAAGACCGATAAAAATTATTTGTGCTAAAATTTTTAATAAGAATATTTTTTTTGGCATAAATTTAAGAGACAAAAAGAAAGTTAAGGAAAGTTTCCAGTTTTATTAATCCTATAAAAAGTTATTGTGTGAAAAAATGGATCTTAAGATTGTAAAAAAAATTTTTATTGCTTAAGAGTCATAAATCATTACTTTTATTATCACAAACGTTTAAAGATTCAGTAATGTGTGCGCATGCGCAAAAAAAAAGGAGATATTACAGCCATTTTGTTTAGCACAAAGAAATTTTATCCGGTAAAAGTTATGATATTGTAATTGAGGATAAAATAAAAAAAAACGATAGAATTTTCTATTTAAAATCTAAATGTTTAATTCCATCCATAAATTTATTACAAACAAATAGTATTGTGTATATATACGTGTATACACCGCAAATATTTAATCATTGTCTCTACTGTCTCTATCTCTTCTCTTGCCGTCTACATATCCAAATACTTAACTAACTACCAACTAATTATAAATTTATAACCAACATAATACCAACAGTATAATAATGATAATAACTGCTAATTCAAGAAAATAGAAGACTCCTCGGTTCGCCGACGCATGGTTGTAATCACAAATGCTAATGCAATGCTGATGCCAGTGATGTAACGATATCTATTTTTTTATATTTTTACATCTTTTGATGTCACTGTGGTTAAAGATATTTTTTTATTTTTATTATTACAAGTCTAAAGTTACTTTCAGGTATAAAAATAATTTGGGAAGAGTTTTACGCTTTTGTTCGACGCCCGCACTGAAAAATAAAGTTTTTTTCCACCGATAGTTAATTTATTATAAGTATTTAGGCTACATTCGAAAATTTTCAATCTCTAGATGCTTTATTAAGAAATGACCTAGTATCTTGTGGACTATTGACATTTTTAAAGATTTAAGCTCATCCTGATGTTACACTCATCGAGACCTTTCATTTGAGTACCCACATCAATTTTTCATATATTTATATATATTATATATATGTATATATGAAAAATATATCAAAATGCATGTGGCTACTCAAATGAAAGCTCTTGATAAGTGTAACATCCAGATGAGCTTATATCTTCAAAAATGTCAATAATTAAGAAAGTACAGTGCAATTTTACAAAATTCATTATTTAATGAAGCAAAATTTCAATTATATTGAAAACTAAGTCTTGAAATTTATAAAAAAAATTTTTTGTTGTTTTTTGAGCTTGTAAAATAAATTTTTATACCTGAAAAACTTTCTAGACCATTGAAAAAAATATTTTTTGAACCACTCAGATAAATTTGAATACTAAAAGGGCCAGGTGTATGTACACGTGTATGTACACACATAATGTACGATGAGATGGATGTATTTTGTACGCGTACTGTCCATGTACTGCAGGAATAGAGCCATCGACTTTTTATCCACGGAACTGTTTATTGGAATAATATTTTTGAGCAAAATATTGTTATATTTCTTATAAATATACACTCATCCATACATGTATACTTATGAATAATTATATTTGTATGTATTTGTGTATATACTTTGGAATATTCTCACGCGCGGTTGATCGATCGATCGTCGACAATTTTTATTTTTTTCTATTTTTTAACGATCCATCGATCTATCGCAAATTCCAATGCTTGTGATAGACAAAGTAGATTTATTATTGTAAGAATAATTATCAAGTAACGTCGCGATGCCTCTTATATAGTAGATACGTTCGATTTTTATTTTTAATTGACTTTAATTGGTGTATTGGAAAATGGTGGTCACGCAAATGTGCCAGCTGCTTGTATGCCCTACTCGTGAATATTTTTTATCAATCAATAATTTTTTATTAAATAGGAAAGTTTTGAGGTTAGAAGTTCGCGGGTTAAGAAATTTTATTTTAAGGAGATCCACGCGAAATAATATTTTTAAAACTTCCTGAAAATTTGTAAATTCAATCTACGTAGCCTAATAATTAATAGAAAAATTAAAAAACAGGTTTCCGGGATATTTAATCAAATAATTAGGTTTGAAAATTGTAATTTTTACATGAATGGAGATTCCACCAGCCGTGTATTTGGTTAAGAATTTAATGCAATTAACGATTAAAAAAAAATTTTATTTTCATTGAATTTGATTGAAAAAATAATAAGCTTTCGATTAAAACAATAAAAAAGTAGCTTTTCGAACGTATTACGGAGATATTTTATATTTTTTATGAAAAATCACTCGGAACTTCCGTTCTTTAAAGTCTCGTATTTGACTTGGCAACACCGCTTGCGCAGTTACTCGGCGCATAAGTAACCGCGGTTTTTTAAATGCTAGAAGATCTTAGTCATTTTAGTTAGACAGTAAACATAAATAAATTTGAAGGTTAGGGAACTCTTGCGGTGTTGTCAAGTGTATACCGGTAATTCAGAGCGCTATATTTTTTATTAGTCAATTAAATGTTAATAATTATTTAATGAGTAAATTTTTCGGAAATTTCCTCAAATATGTTATTAATTAATTTAAAAATTAATTTTAAGATGCATAACAAAAGTATTTCTACGTATTATTTTTTATACTAGCAGGGTACTTGGATCTCCTTAAGACGGTCGGAGCAAAAATGTACTAAAAAAAGTACTTTCTTTCTACTAGGTGGCGACACTTGTTCGCCCGGTTATGAAGGACTTTATTTTATCAATTTAGAATTGTTAGAAGAAAAATATTTTTTTTTTGCATCATTACTCAGGCGAATAAAAAGCCATTTATTTTTATCATAAAATATTCACGCGATAATTTATCATAATAGATTTAGCAATAATAACCGTTATTATCACAATTGTAGATTTAACTCCCGATTGTAACTATTAATGCAGGGAACAATCGAGATAGTGAAATCGCGTGTACATAAAAAGTTAAATATTGATTTTAAATTTATTGATTAACTTTAATTACAGTTAAAAACAATACTGCTATTTTTTTTTATTTTTTTCTAAAGTAGAACATTTAATTTAATACCTGCAATATTTGATGAAAAATTTATAAGCTTTTTGATCGAACAAGGAATTTATTTTTAATTAAAAATGAAGGATATTGTTGAAGAAAAAAGAGGAACTATCGCTGTCGATATAATAAAAACTAAATTGAATGAAAACATGTGTTGGAACTTAAATTACATTGGATCCTTTGAAAAATAATTCTCGTAGCGCAGGATACTTTTAGACGCCCAAAGTTATTATTTATTATATTTTATATTATATAAAATATATACCCGGATATCGATAGATACAAGTTCAATTTAGTTCGCTCGCTTCGA